TCGTCCCCCGGGGAGGACGCTGGTCACCCTTCTCGTCAACATCTCCCGCCCATACCTCCGTCGCCGACGTTATCCAACCCCGACATGATCTTACCGTTTGACTCCAACGAGCGCGAATCCTCCACCCCGTCGCCTCCGTTCAACCTACCTTCACTATCCAACCTGCAGGCGTTCTACGCAAGGCGTCCCGCTCTCGATGACAATACGGACCAGACTCAGGGAATCGCGCAACCGGGTGTTGCTCTGTCTTACGGCAATCGCCCCCAGAGCAAACTATACCCACGGCATACATGGCTGCAAGAGGGCTATGATGCTCGTCGTCTGTCGGATATCGGAGAGGAGGACTCTTCGTCATCTTATGCGCACTTCCCTGGGTTCTCTGGTGCATCTCGAATTGTTTCGCAAACAGGACGGGCGGGAGGATCTCCCGTTTCGCAACGCGAGACGGGTGAGTTGGAGACTAGGGAGACGGGGACATGGAGTGGCTCGTCTAGCTCGACAGCTAGTGCTGCTAGTGACTCGTCTTGGGACGGGACGAAAGGCCACCAGGACGGTCGCGGCGCCAAGGACCACCAGCACCTGCTGGAGGACAGTGCCACAGAAGCTGTCGATGGCAATGATAAAACTCCACGCATAGTACAAAGTACACAGGAGGATGGGTCGGGAGTGGAGCTGTCATCGGCCGTACTGAGCACCGAGGCGGAAAGGATCCTCGAGAACGCGAAGAAGCGCTTGACGGTATGTCCGAGATAGAGAAGATTGTGGATTATGAAAGCAATCGCTAACAAATGCTGTAGCTTATGGAAGGGAACCTGAATCGGGCTCGCACGTCGGTGCGAGTATCTCCGTCGCTTCCCACTTCGCCAACGCCGCCTGTGGGGCAGTCGCATCTGGGGCTGGGCCAACCCGTCGGCGGCCTGTATCAGTCGATTTCTCGCGCGGACCGTCGGGCCTCAAATCATCGTCCGCGCACAACATATACCTCATCCCAAGATGCGACGGGCAACCGCCATTCGCGCGTCTACAGTGAGACCAAATTGCCATCAGCGGCGCACCCAGGTCTTCCCACATCCGATACCAGTCTATCTCGGTCGCTCAGTGCCTTGGGATCAACTAGTGCATCCAAGTATAGGAGTGATGAGCGGACTTTCCGTTATGACCCCTCGCGGTCGTATCTGACCCACCGGGCTTCTATCTCGTCCATGCAGAGGCCATCGGCCCGCTCACCAACAATGGTGAAGGAGCGAGCATCCTCTGAGTCACCCAGGGGCTTAGGCATATCTACCGAGGAGGAGACTGAGAACCTCAGCTCGAGCACGGAGGGGTCCAACGGAGTCTATCCCGCGCAGGACCCGCCATCTCGTTCCCAGTCGCAAATGCAAGTTCGCGACCTGCACAATCAAATGAAGGGCCTTCACATCAAAATTTCCAGTCTGAAAGTCAAAACCCAGGAGGATAATTTGCGCCGTCGTAGTATGCAGAGTCTGCGGACCCCGAGTCCCTTGAATGCTGCTGACCAATGGTACCCCAATGCTTTGGAACTAAGAGGCCGCCAGGGCAATCCTAGACCTAGCGCTGGTCAGGGTCAGTCACCGGCCCACTCTGCAGAAAATCAATTCAGCGACGAATCTGGCTCCGCTAGATACGAGCCTGACGTGAAGGCTCGACAGGCCGAAACACACAGACAAGCTCTAGAGCATTCATCCCCGGGGAAGACGCATCATCAACAAGATGATGCCTACGAATTCGATGATGCGCAGTCAGTGACCGAGAGTCTTTATGAGGATGCACAAGAGGGTGACTATGATGAGAGCGGCTTTTTGACATCTGGTCTCGACCAGGAGTCCGTGGATGATAATTTGGATGATACGTTGGAGGCTTTCCCTCCCGTACCACAAAGTTTTCAGGACAAACCTCACGAGGAGCGAGAGGATGCTTTTGACTACGAGCACTTCATTCTGCATAGCGCCCTGGGCAATTATAGCCAAGCTCGCACGCGCCGTGAGAGCAATCTATCGACCAGTTCGGTCGAAACCACGCGCCCAACCGACCACCGCTCCGTTCGTCACTCCCGGGCCAACAGTGCAACATCACTTTCTTCCGTTGCGACGTTTGAAACCGCCATTGAGGGCAACCACGATGGACTGGAGAGCGTTCTCTATTGGGATCGGAAATTCAACGATGGTAGGTTCCTGTGTTTCACTTACAGCTCGGACTTGTGCTAATGTCCTGTCTAGAATTAAAAGGTCGCCATACGCCGGGCATCGACAGCTCGAAGGGAGCTGATTTGGAAACCGGAGGAAACCCTCGTACTCTTCGTCGACAGCCCAGTCGACGAGTAAACAGCGCATTGTCTCTCAAGGCCCCCACAGTCTCACCACGATCCGACTCGGCAATAACAGGAGCCGCGACCCCAACGTCCCTTGCGTCGTCGCTTGTGTCAACAGTACGCAGCGCCCATCCAAGTGCATCAGCCAATGGCAATATGGGGCTGAATGACGATGATACGAAACTTTTGGAACAGTTATTCCAAAGCTTGGGGGATGTTTGTACGGAGCTTCAGACGATTACAACCTCTGCGCAGCCGGATCCGAAACAGGTGCGGCTGTTGAGACGACGACTAGACGCCGCTCGACGAGTGCTGGACGGAGAATTGGACACCTAAATTTAGGTATAAAGGAGTAAATAAAACGATTCTGGAATAGTTATGGGGGCTCCGTGGACAGTGCTATTGTTTTTTTGCGTTTTGCTGTTAAAGCAATCCAGGTGGAAGCCTTGGATATGATACCCTGATATTCGATATTCGATATTCGATTTGGCCAATGCAGCCTCTGTTCTTGTATACTATAGTTGCAGGTATTGGATACTCAAAAGCAAACAGGCGTTGTATACAGAGTGCCGTTGGCCCCACCCCCACCCGTGCACGTGCTTTCGCAATGCTTTGATCTCCGACGCGCCACGCGCAGCAGCCACATTCAACATTCAACCCTGAAAGTAAATAATCCCATTATGGCAATGAGGGCCACTGCCATTGTCATCATCAGCCCTTTGGAATTACTCTTTGAGCCCTGGACACCCATTGAGTGATCCTGTACTGAGCTGGACTCTGTGTGCTGGTTGGTGTCAATTCTCCTCAATTTCTGATGCCTCCTTTGCCCCGCATCTCGAATCGCATAATTCCGTCTGAAATTCAGCCACAGATATTTACAAACATCTGAGTGGAGCAACGCAGACAGGCTTGACACGACGAGGGCCTGACTACATTCATTCTCTATATAGGGAGAAGAAGCGCTCAATTGCTCGTGCGCATCGCTTTTTATCCCAACGAGGGCGGATTAAAGCAAGCGCAAGACGGAGAATTTTTTTTTTCCTCTTGTGTCGAGCTTGTGAAACGGCGATAAGAGGGTCCCCCGCCAAAACCCCTGTCAACTCCATACTCTCGAGGACGAGACTCTCACCCTCACGAGAGATCCTTTCTTTCAATCTGCTTGAAAGAACAAGCCCCATCCCCAATATCTTATCGCATAACCATGTCTCCGCCGCCACCCCCATCCCGCCGCCTCCTCATCTTCCAAGAGGCGCGCCACCCCCAAACAGCCGAGGTCGTGTACTTGCCCGTGAACAAACTGGGCCTCCCCATCTGCGGTGATGGACCGGACCTACCCTCCATCCTGGAATTGCCGCTGAGGATTCTGAAGGCGTTTACAGAGATTTTCAACCAGCCGAAGTATAAGGGATGGTGAGTGCCCCCCCCACCCCCCCACCCCGTTGTTTCAAGTTTGAGGCTCTTAGTCTACGCATGCCCTCTTATTCTGGGTATGGGGTTCCGCTGACCTTCGAGATTAGGGCTATTGTGGCTGCGGGGCCGTACCATGATACCTCGGAGGAAGGGAAATATTATGCTGTTGTGTTGGAGCAGACGGCGTCGGCGCAGCATGCGGATTCGATGGGAGCGATATTGTAGATTGGAATGCGGGAGGTGGTCACTGCTGCTGTTGTTGATGATCATTATTTTTTTTTCCATGGGCGTCTATGTGTTATGCTATACTTAATACGTGTATTACTTGAAGGTATGATAGTTGGCTCTGCTGCTTGTCTACTTGTTGATGGATTAGAGTGGGTTGGTGGAGTTGCTTTGCGTCTGGGTCGAGGAGTCGGCATTTGTAGTACTGTATCTTGTCTTATGTTATGGTGGAGATTTTGACCGATTTCTACCTACTCCGAATCATATATCCCCGTTTGTCTTGGAATTGAGATCCTAGCGTCGATTGCGCTTTTGGATTGTGAGTCGGCTGGTCCGTAATGTCTGTTTTTATGTACAGCGCGTGGTTCTGTTTCTCCGTTTGGGTTGGTTGTCCATGTGTCTAGTATATCGATTGAAGAGAGGTTTCTATTTGACTCTTGCCCTTGCTGTACGTTCCAACCAGAGGAGAGCTCGAGAATGGATGTAAGCAGGAGTGCTTTTCTGCTTGTCTCGGACGATTCTGGGCGTAGTGGTGGACATCATTTCAATGGCCGTCTACAGCCATCCACCGCCTCGACCTCCCGGTGAATGAGGATAACTGTCATGGATATACTACCATAAATTGCCAAACCTCGTTCAATTGCATTTACTGGCTCACCCCTACCATGGGTATATCATCTCACGAGGTTCGCTTCTCGAGCTTTTCTTCCTCTCCCTCCTCTCTCGTTCCTTCTGAACTACAACAGACTCAATCTTCAACCTGCTTCCATACAAAGTAAGCATCCTGCTACCAAATACTATCATCTGATAAACTTCCTCATCTCATCCTACCCCCTCATTAAGAGCTCGCCCAAGCTTATCTTCAAATAATAACAAGTAACAGTACCTGCTTGCCATCTAGCTAGAACCTCATCATCTAATATCTAAACTCTCCATCTACAAAGTAAGGCCCCCTCCCCTCCTCCAGCATCTCAACCCCACACCACACCACTAACCACACACACACCTCCTACAAAAGCTAACACCCAAACCCAAGATGTCATACAACAACTACACCACCACCGAGTTCCCCCTCGCATCCTCCAGCCCCTCCCTCTCCCCACCGAACATCGACCTGCTCATCCCCCTCACAAGCATCATGCTACTCACCACCCTAGACCTCATAGGCATCATCACCGACAAAATGCGCGCGTGCATCCTCCTAGCAGCATGGTACATACCCCCTCATTGCCCGAAAACCCAAAGCTAACTACAAGGGCTCCTACTCAGTGGCAGCTATCTAGCCAGTCATATGCACCATAACGTACACTTCGAAACAAACAACACGGTCGTCGTCGAGTCACCCATTGCAGGTGATTGGGAGGCCGTGCTGGGGCCTTATACTCCGTTTTCACATGTTTGGGATGGCGTTCATGGCGATGTGCCCGGGTATGGCGATTATGGTCGCGATGGAGATGAAGTTGATGATGAAGACTTTGGCGCGGATGCGACCCCAAGCCCTCCTGCGGATGGATCTTTTGGCGTCAGGAAGATTGTTTGGTGTCTGGTGCTCGGTTTTCAGTGGGTCTTGGTGCCTTTTGTTGGGGGTATTCGGAAGTGGGCTGAGCGGGATGTTGATGTTGGGGTTCACTTGACAGACGAGAAGATGGAAGAGGAAGAGAAAGAGGAGGAGAAGGAGGAGGAGAGACTGACTGACGTCAAATGCGAGACTGGGACTTCGCCTGATGAGCTTCGTGAATATGCTGCCTCGCTTAGGGCCTCCAATGCCTTAGCAGACGACAGTATCATGATGAACCGTTGGCCTTCCACTTTCGTTATCAACAAGGCCGAATCCATCAAAGAGGAGGAGCTGGCAACCCTCGAGTTTGATACACCAGACGATACTCTCTTTCCTCCTGACCTTGTCTCCAGCCTTGAGTACTCTGACTGGGACTCTCTGGATGATATACTTGATGACTACCGCTACTATCCCTCGGACTCACCCGACTTTCCGTCCTCTCAAACATCTGAGACTGCATTATCGACCGCATCTCCAAAATTGGTTGATGATTGCGAGCCAGCGGCTGACTCTAACTCCAACTCGTTCGACTCTCAGCCAAGCTGTGCTCTAGATCTTCTTCTTGACGAGTATCCCTCAGAGCCATACCCAGATTCTGACGATGAAACCGAACTCACGCCCTTCCCCTACAGTCCGACGACCTCCTGCGCCAGCCCTACCTTCAGCGTTTCCACTATCGACACAGATGATTTCCTGACTGGGACCCTTGACGAGAAGCTCTCGGAGGTCTGGCTTACAGACCCAGAACTCGACGACACTTCTCTCCCCAACAACCTCACACATGAGCCCGCCTCCTCCTTCGACGAAGTAATCGAAGAACCGAAAAAATACATCGATCAGCAGCAACATGCTGCTACACACGAGGAACACACCACTATTATTCCCAGAGCCATTGTCCCTAAAAAGAACGGTCAAACCCCCGTCTCTCACCTCAGACTCCCTCGCACAGCCCCCCAATCTACCCCAGCGCCTCCTAATTTCAGTATTGCAATTCCGCCTGGAAAGAAACCCAGCGAACCCGCAACCCCTGCCTCGAACAGCACCATCATCAATCCCCTGCAATCCTGTCTCTCCAAGCCCCATCACTCTTCGGAACGCGGCACTCGTCGTCCAATGCTGGAAGAGGATTCTTCCCCTCCCAGTGTAAATCTCGAGGCCCTGTCCTCCCTCGAGCTCGACCGACTCACCCGCTTCAACAGCTGGAAGAACCTCTTCGTGAACGACATCTCTTCTCCGATCTACAACCACTGCCAACACAATCCCCAGATTTCGGGCCCCCGATCCATGTACGTCGCTTGCTCACCTTCTTCATCAGCGCCAACACGGACAAAGAAGCACAAAAGAGTTCGCTTCCACCCGGCCGTCACGAACATCGACATCCGGATCTGTCCGAGGTACCTTCGGACCCGGCGCCACCGCGACCCTGATGGCGAGGTCATTGAACGTCCGGTCTTCTCGCTTACTCCCTTGCGAGAGTAGGGGGCGAAATGATGTGTCGGTGTTCGTTATCGGACTTCAGTCATCTGTGGGGGGGGGGCATACTCGATTGGGTGGGTACACCCATCCAACGCTTGATCGCCAACTCGTCTGATCATTGACCGATATTCACGGTCTCCACACGGTTGATTATATCTCACTCACAACCGTCGAAGTCGTCTATTCATCAAACCAAAAATCAAAAAGATCCACACGAACCGCAACCTCCATGAGAAACAAGATCAGCATCAAACACCTTCCCCTGTCCTCCTCCGTCCTCTCTCAAAGCAACCATACTTCCAATCCCGGAAGCCATCAAGAGAGCAGACTTTAACCAAGCTCCTCACCCCATATCAAGCTCAAGACCGAACTCAACAATACTCTCCTCTCCCCAGAAAATAACCCAACCATACAATGTCCATTAACCGAACCAAAGACCTAGCCCAACCACATTTCTCACGGATCCCACAAAGAAAAAGAAAAAAGAAACCATCCTCGATCCAGCTGCAATACAACAGCCTACACGACTTCCAAACCAAAGAACCAAACCAAAAAAAAAGATGAACAGCGCCAGAGCCAACTCCTCCAAGCGCAGCACATACCACGTACCTCGAAATCAAGTTCAACAATACCCAGGGGCAGGAAATCGCCCCACGTACCTGTTCAGTTCTGGAACCCAAGCATCCAAACCATTCAGTCGCTGGAACTTCCCAACCATCTCACTCGATCCAGCCAAGCAAACACTGTCCCTTCCAGAAGGCCGGGTTAGATTCGGACATGACATGGGGCTTACAGGGCTGGGCTGTGATCATGCGCATTTCTCGGGGTTTGTTTCTGGGGCAGGGGGGTGAAAGAGGGAGGGATTCAGAAACTCCCAGGGTAGTCCGGCAAAACATAGCCTCCCACCCTCTCTTTGGATTGGACATAACACCAAGGATCTTGGACTCATGGACGGGCGATGACTCGCCCTAGAGAGAAGGCATGGGGAATGGGAAATGGGGAAAGAGAGAGCTGCACAAATCCAGATACAGCTCTAGCTCCTCCTCGTCAAGGACAACAGCAGCACCGTCACCGCCCCTTAAAACCAAAAAAAACCCCCAAAATTTCCCTCGGTTACCCAGCCGTCTTTGCTGTGTCCAACAGGCGAAGGTTAATGCGCAAATGAAGATTCGAAGAAGTGAAAGGATAAACCGGTCGACGACCATTTCTGACCCGTCGTCAAATTGTATGGAATATCATGAAGAGACACTAATCCCATACACCTCACCCACACTTGTATATACAATCATTCCCTCCCTATGACAACAAAAGAACCCATAAGCTTGAGAGAGAGAGAGACATAATAAATAAAGAGATCATGATTGATTTAGGTATTCAGATCCATTAACAAGCCGCCCCTTCCACACTATCGCCCAAGCAAAAGTCTCGTTAGACAGGAAAGGAAAGACTGAAGAGACACACTAAAGCCCAACCATACTCTCCCCATGAACCTCCCGACAAAAGACTCAAGACTCAAGACTCCTCCCCCCCTCCCAACCACCCTTAGTAACATGACAATTCTCCTTGATTCCGTCGGATATAAAAAAACCCTTTTACTGGAAATAACAATGACGGAGAAAAACAAGTCAAACAGACTTCACGACTCTGACACACACACACACAGATGGAACACCGAAATAGGAAAGGAAAGGAAATCGGCGAGAGAAAGAAAACCCGCTTAATGTATAGTAGAATAGTAGTAGCAAGAACATAGAAAACCAAAGTTAGGATTCGGTTGAGATTTCTTCATCATCAGGGTCGTTCCGCAGGGTTTCCTTCTTGGGTCTGCTTGGTTTGCGCGTCATTCTTCCTACTTCTCTTTCACATGATAATTGTGATGGTGATGGCACACGATTGTTTCAACTAGCTAGCTAGGGGTTAGATAGGTAGGTAAGATAGACTAGACGAGGGGAACAGGATTAGGTGTAGACGTTGGAGGGAGGGAGGAGTTTGGCGCCGTAGCGCAGGTCGAGGGAACGAGAGTCGGCCGGGTCGAAGACGGTGGCTTGACGTTGTTCGAGGAAAAGAGCTAGTGATGCCATGAGAATGTGTTTGTGAACGATGGAAAGAAAGTTCTTACAGGTAATCTTGATGGAGTCGAACCAGCGCGCGGCGTTCTCGTCGCTACCGTCCACCGCCTTGAGAATTCCGGTGTCGGGGCGCGGAGTGGCCTTGGGCGGTAAGCTGCGCATCTTCAACAGCATATGTAGGATATCCGAGAATCGATCGCCCTGGCTGGCATAGTAGGGAGGGCGCTTATCCAGAGGCCACTGCTGAAACATTAGAATGCCGGAGCGCATCTCAAATGGTGCACAACTTACACGCTGAGCGAAGTTTTCGTCTTCCCATGAGCGGAACAGCCAGCAAGTCCTCTCAACACAGTTCAACAAGATGATCGCTACCAGGAAGGTTTCAAACCAGCCACTCTGCTGGCGCTGCAGCAGTCGTCGCTCCAAATCGTTCATCACCGACTTGCTCAGCTGAGACGCACGTTTCTCGGTCGCGGCACGCAACTGGCTGCACAGCAGAGCATACGACTCAGTGTTGGTCACCTCGTCGATAGGTGTTCGACCGTCGTCCGAGGGCTGTGCGAGAGAGTGCACCGAGGTAGGCGGAAGAGTTGGGTTGCAGTACGTCTTCCACTGCAGTTCCGAATCCACCAGAATGTGAGTGGCGATCCACAACTCCAACACACGTTCCAACAACAGATCCTACACCTGTTAGCGGCGCAGCTCTGAGATCCAGTGATGGGCGGTATTTACCTTCTTCTGCTGACTTAGCTCTGCAGCAAGCATCAAAGTGGGCCGCATGAATTCTGAAGTCTCACGCTCATAGAAGAATGGTGCGGTTTTCTTGATGTACATCTCAATCTTTCCCGGCAAATCATCGGTATCACTATCCAGCAAATAGAGCTCAGAAAGAGGTCCCTGAAATTGTGGCTCGTCGCTCAGGCCCTGTAGCTGGGGATCAAGTGTCGAGGCAGAAGGCTTGTGACCCTGTAGTCCGCTAAATGTGACATAGACCAAGCTCTCCTCAAAGTGAGTAACCTCAATACGACCAGCGTAATGTTCGAACTTGACCTGGTTGCGGATGCTGCTCACATCGTGATAGGCCAGCGTAGCGTGTAAGTCTTCGACAGTTAGCTCCAATCCAGGCATGAACGGGACCACAAACGATACATACTTGCGTTATAAAGCTCGAATTCTTCCGCAATTCGAGTACGAATGCATGGGTGCTTCCACAGGCGAGCGCTCTCAACGCTGGCACACGTGGTGCAAGGACTGTCTCCGGAGCACTAGGCATAGATTTGTTAGCCGCACGCTGATCGATATTGAAAGATCAGCACATACCGGCTTCTTCAGCATACGACAGCGAATGCAAGCACCCCGCTTTCTGACCTCCTGAACCTCCCGGCGTCGTGCAGCAGAGAACCGACCGCGCACTTTAGGTTTTGTAGGCTTGGTTGAGTTCCCAAACTCGTTCACAAAACCTTTGGCCTGCGAGTTCGGGTTCATCGCAATCGGACGGGGAAAAGATGCGGCGCGCTGGGTAGCAGCAGTCAAGGTAGGATCGTGTTCATGAAGGCTGTCGAAAAGGAGCTGTTCCTGGGTGGATAGCTGCTGGTTCCATGGGGGACTCATCTTAGCAAGTCCATCACCAAGTCCGACGTTGGAGTCCTGGTCCATCGGTAGTCCGTGTGGGACCATCTCACTCGCTGAAGCGGCGATCATGGATAATTGTGACTGGCGCACGTTGGCAGCCGAGTCAGTTGCAAGAGACGCTTCCGCCATTGCAGGAGATGCGGATGGTTGTGGTTCGGCTGGGGAGCTACCAGGGAGGGAAGGTAGAGACGAGGCGTTGGAGGCAGCTTGTTGGGGGGTCCCTGTGCGGCGAAGACAGTATTAGTGAATGAGAGCCCAGCAGAAGTGTTACTGAATTCGATGCACACATGAAATCGCAAAGACTAGAAATTAAAAACAAAACAAAGTGCTTACCAGGCGGCTTCGCATCCTCCTCCACTGTCTCTGGCTGAGTCGGATTGCCCTGGAAGCCTTCGGCCTCGAGGGCAGGATCCACGACGACCGTCTTGCCTCCAACCGTCAACGACTGAGTGTACGCGGGCCCGCCCCGTTTGGTTGAGTCGGAGGCGCCCACCTGTCTCGAGGCCTCGGCCAACACGTTGAGCCCGTCAAAGTTCTGACGAGCTGCTGCAAAGGGCAGATCCCCGGACTTGCCTTTGTTCGGTCCCGTTCCGTCTTTGTTTTGGTCACCGTCGGCAAGATCGGGAAGTTCGTGTAGTCGCAACAGGACGCGTTGACGATCGCGCAAGGGAATGGCTTGACACTTCTTGACGAGATGGTTGGTCAAGCTGTCAATGCGACCCTTGGGAAATTTCTCGCCGCACGCTTTGCAGGTGTGTTGGTAGCGATTGCTGGCGTCCTCGAGCTTCTGGCCGCGAATGAAGAACTCGAGGATCAACTGATTCGGTTTTCTGCCCATTGCGAAAGGCGTGGGTGGGCAGAAGAGACACCAGGATTGTGAATCCGAGGTTCGAAGGAGTCGAGTACAATCTCTCGAGTCACAGACCCTGTTTTGAGGGGGGGAGGGGGGGTAGATTAATCACCGTTGTTTTTGAATTTCCTTGAATAGATAGATTTGTGAAAGACCGGCAGTAAATGGGGAACAGAGCCAAAGTGACGCACACAGGGGAAAGCGGACGAGGGGTGGGAGAAGGCGAGCGGATGGCAAAATAGCAGTTGGCCACAATCCCGACCGGCAGAACCCACCACCGGCTCTTGACCGCTCGAAATCAGGTTTCCACGGGTCAAAAGAGATGGAAGTAGTCGCTACAGAGGCGCGGAGCAGTGGCGATGCAGTGACAGCAATTGCAGAGGGGCAGCAGATGAGAATGAAGGGGAGGAATGGTGTAGGGGAGAAGAGGAGGGAGTGGGATGAAAGGGAAT